TCATTCATGACTAGGAGCTCCCTCAAGGCAGGAATAATGTCTCTTTGTTTTCTTAGTACCTGACACAGTGCATAGCACATAGTAGTCACTCACTGTTTTGAGAATAAGCAAATACATGATTGGACAGATGACGGAATGCATGGATGTATAGATGACCCAGAAGCCTGGACCCCTTCCAGGGGGCTCATTGTGAGGCAGCTGTCATAGGTCTTTACCCATTTTGCTGTCCAGAAGACACCCATGTCTCCTGAGAAGTGATGTCCTACCTGGTACTCTCGCTCTGGCTGTGGTTGCTATGGCAACTGCCAGTCTAGGCTCTGGCTGTTCTCCTACAAGGGACAGGGAGAGCAGGGAGGTAAGAGGAATCAAGGCAAGAGACTCTCCACTATTCCCTGAAACTGAGGTCAGTGCCCAAAACCTCCTTTGCTCAGCTTCACAAAACATTTCCTGAGCATGTGCCTGGCCCTCTTCGGGGTCCCATGCTGTGCGCTAAGGGAGCCCCCAGGGAAGACAGGCTCACATGTGATAGTGTGGTGGGAGGAGGTACTTGAGGAACAGACAGCTTTGTCACCCGTAGGGGAACCAGGAAGTAGGCCTTTGGCTATAAGGGGTCCTCCTAAGAGCAAGGGGACTAACCGCAGCCATTTTCGTAGCCGTTGAGTTGATTATTCATTGACCTAAGCCAGGCGCCTTGCCTGGACCCTTTTTACCCAATCCTCTCAATGGTTATATGAGGTGGACAGCATGATTCCCATTTTATAGAGGAAGAAATCGAGGCCAGACCAAGGCTCTTAGACATTTTGAGACTTGCTGAGCTAGGACATGGCACAGCAGGGATTCAAATGCAGAGCCCGAGCTCTCAGCCCCTGTTATTGATACTGTCCGGACTCTCAGTCTCACTGCTCTTTGCACGGCTTTGTCATGGGAGAGTCTGGGTACCTAGTGAGCAGGACCTCGCCCATGGGCCCCCATTTTGAGTGGGCACATGGAGACAGGGCAGAGGTCTACTCTTTCTTGTCTCCCTCTTGGGATCATTAAATATCCAGGCTGAGCAACCCTGCTGCTTCAAGTCTTGTTCTGGGTTAGTGGAGCTTCCGTAGCGTTCCTGCTTAGCAGGATTATAAAAGGCTGCGAGGGAGGAATTGTGGAGAGGATTTCTTAAGACTTGTTCCAGACAAAGCTGAGAGTATCAGGAGGAATGAACACCACCAACTCCACGGCCCTGAATCTGGCTCTACTTAAGCTTCTGCTATTGTCTCTCTGGGGTAGGGGGTGTATATGGGCTGACTCATGTCCTTGGCTGGGAGGTATAGGGTTGACCTGCAGGTTCAATTCCTGGGCGGGGGGCAGCGGGGGGGCCCTGATTCAGCACTAACCGTGCCTTCTGGCAGAGAACCAAGGCTGCTGTAAGCCTTTTGGGATCTAACCACAGCCTCAAGAGACCGTGGGGGCTGGGTGAGTCATCTCTGGCCAGCTGGGAAGAGAGGCCCAAGGGTGGCTTGTGAGAAATGGCAGGAAGTCGGTCTTCACTTCTATTTTAAATAGTTACCCTAAGAAAAACCTAAAATATCACTGATTGGTGGGTTTTAAAGAAACAGATGGGATCAAATTTTTCCCAACGCCCTATCCCACCCCTGCCCTGCAAATCTCGCCTTACACGTCTGAGACCTCTTTTTCTATCAAGTAGAAATACATACCTTGGAACATTTCTGAGGTTTATGCGTCTGCATCTTGCTGGGAGATAGTTTGTTGTTGACAGTTTTATTTCCTGGCTTCTTTGTGGGGCCTACAGGAGCATCAGCGATGGAGAAGCGGTTTCACCAGTGAAGCAGGGGCCGCGCACTTGTGCAGGAGGCAATAAACCAGCCCAGGCCCAGGTGAATGGGACACATCACTTGGGGACGGAATGACAACGCTGTTGATTGGATTTTCTTTGGGGAGGCTCTTCACATTTTTCCACGTGCAAGGGAACTGAAACTGTTAAAACTGAAACCCAAAACTGATCTGGCTTCTGTTCCCCTCATGCCATGCGGGGTTCAGAGCCACACCATTTCACCTTCAATTACCACCACCCTTCATTCTTCTCTGACTGATTTTGTGGCCATTGGTCTTGTCTTCCTAATACACCCAGTTGCTTGGGGACATGGCCTTTGTCTTATATTTCTGTTCCTCTCATTGTGCCTGACCCAGAGTGAAACACCCACTGTATTTGGTTAAAAATGCCTTTTCCTCACTTTGGTGCTGTGAGGACTGAATAAATACCAGGCAATAGTTTATATTTATGGTCAGATGCTTGGGGGTGAAACCGTAGACAGTATGTTGTTGAGTACAGTGTCTCCTGAGTATCAGGAGAGAAAGGATCACTCTAGACGGGCTTTAATGCGCAGGGTTCACTGTGGTGGTGTCGACAATAGCAAAAAAAATAAAAATAAAAAGTGGAGGTGGGTGGGTGGGTGGGTAAACATTCCTCAGTAGGGGAGGTTGGGTAAATTAGGGGACATCCATTCATACATACAGTGGGGTAGTAAGCAGCTATTTTAAAGAATATGGTTCAGTGAAATGTTCAAAAAAGATATCCAAGGAAAGTTAGATGCTATGATGCAATTTGTGTAAACAAGAACAAAAGAGATGTAGCCACACATGTGATACTGACAAGTATTTGGAAGTATAGACAAGAAACTTCAGACCAGTTATTGCTGGGAAATGGACTGAGAAATCAGGAGTGGAAGCTTTTACCTGTTACTTAATTTTTTCTGTCAGTGGTCAAAATTTTTTTTACTATGACTGTATTGTTTTTAATAATAATAATTTTTAAAAAATTAGTTAGGGAAAACAAGCTATCTTTGGATGGCAATGAGAAAATTTAACTCTAAAAGATGCCCCTCTGGGCGGTAGAGCGGATCCAGGCAGAGCAGGGTGAAGTGGGCGAGGAGGAGGCAAGGTCGAGGAGTTGAAGACACACATTCCCTTTATGTGTGATTCTTGGCTCTCGCTGCTGGAGGCCCGCCGGCCAAACCAAACAACCTCCCAGCTCTATCCCATGAGGTGGAGGCCGGGTGGAGCATGAGAATGTTCTCAATCACAGCCTTCAGAGTGACTTCAGTTAGGACTTTTGGGACATTCACTGAGCGCTGCCACCAGCCCCTCTGGAAGCCAGCCACGAACCCCCATGGCACTTGGCAGTGGGAGCATGTAGTTCAGGACTTCCTAATTTTGGGTTAATCAGGTTGTTCTCTCACTCAAAGATCACCAATAGCTCACTATTGTATTAAGTCTGAATTTTATTATGAAATAACTTAATGTATCAAGTTTAAATTTACCCTAATGTTCAAGGCTGTGGTCAGCCCCACTCAACATTTTTCAAACTCATTTGCTATGATTTCTCAGTATATAGCAGCACATATTTCAGCACTGCCTGGATTTGAATCCTGGCTTTGCTACTTACTACCGTGTAACTTTGGAGAAGTCACTTAACCATTCTGTGCCTCAGTTTCCTCATCTGGAAAATAACAGCCCTCACATCATAGGGTTGACGTTAAGAATTAAATGACTTTATAAAAAGGTACATAGAAGGGTGTCTGGCACACAGTAGGTGCTGCTTAAGTGCTGCCTACATCTATTATGCTCCCCCCACCCCCCACTCCACAGTTCTAGCTGGAATGCTTTTCTTGACCAGTGCTACCCCTTTCAGAAGCTACATCAGGCAGCACCCTACCATGAGGCCTGCCCTAATCCCTCCAGGTTGTCAGAGGATCTTGAACTTTCAGTCACTGGGGGAACTTGGCAAAGTGCAGATTCTTGAGCCCGACTCCTACAGACTTCACTGGTCTGCAGCGTGGCCGGCAACCGGCACCAGGTGACAACCGTGTGGTTAGCGTGAGGCCCCGCCTGGAGAGGCAGGCCCTGACTGAGCTTCCCCTCTCACCCACCAGCAGCACACGCTCATCTTCCTTATGGCACAGGCTTGTTCCTATTTATTTTCCTGTCTTCTTCATGCATGTGAGGCTCCCAATAAACACTTGTGGACTATTAATGACCTGTTAGGAAGATGTGCCCACCAGCTTTCCCCTCCCCCATCCCCTCCGTTCCTCCTATCACTGGTGTGAGTGTGGAGGTATTTGTGGGAGGCTGTGGTGTATCTGATGCCACTTGGGTGATAAATCCCAAGCAGGCTTATTGGCTTCTCCCAGATCTGTCTTCCAATAGCTCTGCAGGGAAAGCAGACCGAGTTTCCTGTCACTCTCTATCTGGAAAGGACGTAAAAAGCCTTCCTCAACGAGGGGTGTCATCAGTCACTAGTGGGAGCTTTAGAAATAAAGCTTTACCTGGGCACCACATAGGTTCAGGGTGGGGTGTGGGCAGTTGACCAAGCTCTTCAGGCGTTTCTGATGATACCCTATGTATGAACCAAAGTGCTTGCCCCAGGTTCTCAACCCAGGCTGTGCTTCAGCAAGGCAGGAGGGGCTGAGGCTTCTGAGGGTGGGAGGCCCTCCCCAGCCTAAAGAACCTCTGGGCCTTGGGCAGATCCTACTCATTTTGGCCTTGTGAGGCTCAGCAAAATGCAGCCCAGGAGCATCCTACACAGCAAGGGAGCAGCTGCTGGGTAACCCCAAGAATCCTGGAGAGGGAAAAAGATGAGAAAGATGGTGGGGTTATCCACAGTGGACAGGTCTACGTGACCTAAAGGGCTGAAACTCTTCCATTTAAGAAAACTTCTGTCCTTGAAAACCAAACGCGTCCTCTTACTTCCAGCTGCCACATTTCCTTGCACACATGAAGCCCTGTCAAATAAGGTCTTGGGCTGGACTCCACCCTGCAGTGGCCTTCCGAGGCCCTTTCTGGAACTCTGCAGGCTTCCTCAAAGATGGGCTAGAAATGTCCTATTTTGCTAATTTAGGAAAAAAGTTTCCTGAAAGCCTAAGATAAAAAGGAGTGAAAGCTTCTGCTTGTTGATAGGAAATCCACCCCCTTCCCAACTCTGCCCTGGGAACCTCACCGATTAAAAACAAACACTGCGACCAGTTTCTACTCTGCAAGAATTTAATTCTTCCTTTAATATAAATAAGGCAGCATGAAACATCAAGAGCCTTGCTGCTTTTTGCTTCAGAAGCCACTTCGGTGCATAAAAGGTTCCCATTTCCCTGCTGAGTTCTGTCCGCTCTGTATAAACAAGGTAATTTTTTTCAGTGGACTTTCTCCTGGAAGCAAAGGGGAAGCTGAGGGAGAGTCTGGCTTGGTCTTGGCCTCTGGAGGCTGGGTCTTGGTTGCTGGGGTCTCTTCCAAGCATAACAAGATAAAGATGAGGAAGGGAAAAGAAAGGCACAGGGGATAATAAATAAGGAAATTCGGCCAGATTCTGGAAATGAAACCCAGCAGAATGAGGGGCTCGAGGCTACTTTGGAGACCACGTGGGCAGGACTGGTCCCTGGAAGGCCAGCCACTGGTGGCCTGGGGAGGGGCAGACCCAAGCCCTGCTCCATCCAACTCCAGCTCACATGGGCGGCTTCCTGCAGGCTTCAGGGCCCTGCTGCGGCTGAGCCTCCTGCCCCGAATAAATCCTGTCAGGCAAACTGTCCCTCCTGAGCACTCTGAGGCCAGGGGAGAGCACTCTTTCGGTAGGGACAATATCCTCTCTTCAGTTGGTGGTGAGTCAGACGCCCCGTGGAACCGCATGTGCTGTCTGGAAGGCACACTCATTCTTGCCTCCTCCTAAGCCCCCTGCAAGGGTTACTGAGGCGGTGCCTAGAGAGGAAATCCCAAAGGACCAGTGAAGCCACAGTAGAGGAGGAATGCTTCCCAACCCTTCTGAACCGGGTCTGGAGACAGAGGCCAGCTCCAATTGCAGGCTCCGGGGCCTGCCAAGTGACCGCAGCCCCCAGCAGTACCGAGGTGGACTCTCTGTGGCCTGGGAGCTGTGCCCACAGTGCTGTCCCTGTGTGTTGCCAGTTAGCCAAGCTTCTGCGGGGCTCCTAGGGTTTCAGTCATCCGTGCGACCAGCAAGGCCCACCCAGAATGGGCAGTGTGTGTAGCGAGGAAACCCTGCTGGAGTGACGGCTGAGGGGCCCGGGGCTTCCAGAGAGGAGCCTGGTTTCCATAGCGGCTCTTGCTTCCAGGTACGTCCTGCTCTAGGACTGGGGCCCTCAGGGCCATGGCATTCCTCGTCTCTCAGTTTTGCCACCTCCCCTGAACTGGGCACCAGAGGCCAGGCTGCCGGGCAGGCTCCAGCACCCCAGGTGCTAGGCTGCCCTTCACCCCAGCCGCCCTGTGCCTCTTTCTCTATCAGCTTCCACCGTCAGCATCTACCCATTCCCACGTGCTGTGGAGAGAAAAAGGTGGGGCGAGGAACCACTGAATTTGTACCCAGCATGGTATGTGGTGCCCATGGCGCTCGGGACACAGCACCAAGCTGGGGGAAGGGGCAGGGAGACGGGGGTACACCCTGAATGAGGTGTGGCGCTGAAAAAGTAGCCAACTTAAACTTCTCTGCCACCAAGTACCCACTTCTGTGCAACAGAGACATTAGCCACGTGGGGCCTTGAATCTACTAGGTCTTGTCTCCAAACAGTACAAAAAAAATGGCACCCACAGTGGGCCCCCTACTGTGCAGGCTGTGAGCGGACCGTTGTGAATTCCCACATCTGTCCCTATTAGAGCTTTGGCTGCAGATGCCTGGGGCCAAGGGTTACTGGAAATAGGGGTGTACACTTGTATCACGGATCCCTGTCTGCATCCCTTTGATTCTCTGCTGATATTCAAGTAAAGACTGGACCTGGGATGTAAAAAGAATTACACCACAGTGATGTTGCATGGTCTCCAACTCAGTGTTCATAGAGTGTTCCGTCATCATCTTGGCCATTCGTGATGATCCAGAAGTAAGCTGCAAAAGATCAGGCCCCAAATGCAGAAAACAGCTTCACCGGCCAGCCCAACGTGTAAAAGCATACTAGCTTCCAGCTTGGATTCTCTTCCCTCCACATGACAGGGCCTGGCTTCTGGCAGGCTCGCCATGGCTCCCAACAAAGCCTGCCGTTTCCTCAGGACAGGGCCTGCACATGCCCTTGGGGGTGGGCGTGTGGGATGCCCTATATCTTGGCCCTTGAGGTTCGGGCTGCTCTACAAGATGACAGGTTTTTGGGGCAGGCTGGCATGGTCTGTGGGGATGTGTAGAGAGTACTCGCTAATGAGCGCTGGGGCATTCTTAAGCATCTCATAGAAAGAGTCCACTGTCTTCAGGTAGAGGCTTCGCTGCAGGACGAAGGGCCGGAAGAGGTTGAGAGGCTCAGCCCTGCGCACGGCCTCGGGGAGTCCCATGGTCTCAGGCACCTTGCGGTTGCCGATGAAGAAGTGATGGAGCTTCTTTTCGAGCAGGCTCTTCTCCAGGAAGCAGAGCAGCTCATGCAGACGAGCGTCCAGCTGCCCGGCCTTCCAGTCGGTGGCCCGCCGGGAGAGCAGGAGGTGCAGCAGCGCCGTCTTCAGGTGGTAGTTGCTCAACCCGCTGGGGCCAGTTAGGCGGCTCTGCTTGGAGAGCAGGAAAGAGGCAATCTGCAAGCAGCTGAGGTGGCAGGAGCCCTCGGGCAGTGCCTTTGATGTCATCCTGAGGAAGTGTCGCTCATAGACAGCAAAGGACAGGATCCAGTCAGTGCTGGATGTTGGGGTCTCCCCGGAAGGCTCCCTGGGAAGGTGGGAGACAAAGTACAGGTCTGAGTCATTATACTGGATCACAGGGATCAGGTTGAAGGGCATGAACTTCCCTGAGCGGAACTTGATCTTGAGGGACCCTGGGGTATCCAGTTGGCCAAACGCCAGGTCAAACTCATACTTGTGGGCAATGCGGTGCCAGGCTCTGGTGAGGGCGACCTGGAACCACTTCATGACCTGCATCGTGTCCAGGTACGGGGAATCTCTGGCACACAGTAGGTCTTCCACCTCGCCGCTGGGCCGTACCACATTGTTCTTGCTGTGAAGGAGACAGAGCATGTCTTCCCCGAGCTTGGTCTTGCCACAGATACAGCCCAATGTATCCATGTCAGCCCGGACCACCTTCATCTGGCCGTACCCCTGGCGATTTAAAGGCACCGAGTGGCTGGAGCACCAGAGCTCTGGGTGGAAGTGGTAGGGCTCAGGGGGTGTGAAGGGCACAAAGAGCTGGCACAGCAGCGGCTTGTCCACCTGCCAGTTCTCATACATGCTGTCCACCCCCATGAAGTCCTCTACCTCCACGTCCCTGTCCCGGTTGCACAGGCTCCTCAGGGCTTCCAGCAAGTCATCCACAAAGCCTTCCACGAACTCCCGGGTGCGAGCCGCATCAGCTGTGGCCCCCCGGATGCAGCGCTCATAAAAGTGGTCCAGTGTGGCCTTGTTGGGCAGGGTAAGGCCTCGGAGCGGGGCGCCCTCCAGACCAGGCAGCTCGTCCTCATCCCCGCCCAGGCACTCGGGGGACAGGCCGTCCTGGTGGTCCTGCCGCCACAGCTCAATCACCAGGAAGAGGATCATGCAGAGCGTGCTCCACAGGTCCCAGGCTGTGTGGCTCTCAATGTCCTGCTGGCCCTCCTCTGCCACCTGTTCCGGGGCCTCTGTCTCCACTGCCAGCTGCATTTCCTCCTCCAAGCGCAGCTGCTCCAGCTGCAGCTTCTGCTCATGTGCCTGCATCTTGAGGATGATCTCCTCCTCGTTCTCGGGGACTGTGGCGTTCTCCCGTGGGAACAGCAGCGGGTGGTTGATGATGGCTGTCACCACCACCAGACACACACGGAAGAGCCCCAGTGCCATGGTTGGAGCTTTCCTGGGAGCACAAAGAGACCAACAGTTACATGAAGCTTCCCTCAATACCACTTCTTCCCTGGACTCTCCCACCAACTCCTGCCCTGCTGAGCTGGGGAATGCCTTATAGTTCTCCCCACACCCTGCTCACCATCTCACTGTTTCAGTGTAGCCTGGGGAACAAGAACCCCAACGTCCCACACCAGCAATCTGGGCTGAACAACCCAACGTGATGGACCTCTGCTGTCTGCCCAGACATTCCTCCTTCTGACAGTAGCACCCCACTTTCCCTGGGAACCACCCCTTTAATACTCCCAGTCCTTAAGACTTGAGTAGAGAAAAACCCACCCCCAGTTCTAGGGGAGCATATAACCCAGGCCTAAGAATGAGAGGGCTGGGTCGCAAAGCCAGCCCTGTCACTGACTCTCTGTGTGATGCTGGGCGTGCTAGCTTACATCCATGAGCCCCAGCTTCCTCACTGCTCCCCAGGGAAGCCACAGCACCCATGGGGTCTCCGAACTGATAGACATGATGATCCGCGCATACTTCAGAGAGAGCACAGTGAACGGTGTCAGCATGTTTTCACTGAACAGCAACGTTTCTGTGGCTATTTTGAGCCCTTATCTTCCTTCCTGCAAACCTTTCCTTCTTACCTGGAAGACCCCACCCCAAATTCAGACATTCATCTCCTGGGTCTTTCCCAGGACAATCTTGGAGACAAACCAGTCATTGGCTTTTCTACCGCAAGGCATCTGACCTTAAAATGCTACTTCTTACTTGTAAAAGGAGACACTCTCTTCCTCCAGGATAAATGAATTTTTAGGTCTCAAGGGTCTTCTGGGGAAGTGCTAACTAACTCTTTACAATCATTGTCATTCATACTCTGCAGCTGCAGTATATTCTGGGAGTTTGTTACAAAAGCAGAATCTCAGCCCCACCCCAGATGTACTGAACCACAATCTGCATTTTAATACCATCCACATCAAAGTCTGAGAAGCATTGTCTTACAGTGTAAGCCTTACAGTATGCCTTCTTTGCTCCCTGGCAGAAACCTTGGGAAGTAACAGTGGGCCTTTTCCACTTGCCCAGCCTCCTTCCTGCCTGAGACCTCAGCTAGGAGAGCAAATAACCAAATGAGCTTGTTGTTGAACAATGAAGAGAATACAGAGGGTTCCTCCCCGGCCACGCACAAGTCAACACATGCTAATAGAAGCACCTTCGTTTTGCCTGAGCTCATTCCCTGATCTTGAATTTGCACCCTGAAAACCACCTGTTTTGGGTCATACCCTGGTGGTGCCAAGCAGCAGGTATTTGTCATCAGGTAAAGATAGCTCTGCAGTTTCTACCCGGCAGTGCCAGGATGTAAATGACCTGAGCGGCTGCCCAGGTGCGACTCCACCCTGTGCACAGATGGGTGTGTCAGCAGAAGCCCCCGGGCTGGTGGGGAGGGGGGTCCGCTGGGAGCCGAATTCAGTGTGCCCACACGGTCAGGCCTCAGAGGTGGCTGAATTTGAGAGCGCATTTTCCACCTGAGGAGGAAGTGGAGGACAGGAGAAAGTGCAGGAAGTCAGTCTGGAAGGGGGGGCGGGGGCGACGAAAAAGTAGGGGGGCAGCCAGCCAGCTTTTCTTACCCAAGACAAGGAGCAGCTTGTCAGATGATTGCAGAAACAGGTCAGCCCTGGGTATGACATAAGAGAACCACCAATGGAAAGTTTTGCCAGGGTGGTCCCAGGCCAAGTCATGAGACTGGCTGACTGGTGTGCATCAGAGTTTTCAGATAAAGGAGTATTAATATTAGAATACCAGGCAGCAGCCAATTAGGAGATAACTTGAGGGTCTGAGGCCCTTCAGGGCCTCTGTACTACGGGCAGCCACCGTGGGGCACAGCAGGTTCCCCCAAGTCACAGTAGTAGCCTTTGGCAACTCCCAATCCGGCAGGTCAGCCTCCATGCTGGCTCAGGGCAGGGTGCCCCGGCTGGGGAGCGGTGCCACTGCTAAGCCCTTCAACTAGAAAGCCCTCTCTACCTGACGGCTTCCATGGGGCTCCCTGTGCCTGCTAGAAGGTGAGCGGCTGTAGGAACCACCTTGTCCTGGGGCAGCAAGGTTCCAAACCCCAAACCAACTGACTCCGCGTAGGAGGGGGTACCAGGATGGGCTCTGGAGGAGACAGACTGGGCTAGCACCTGTACCTACTAGGCATGTGGCCTTGGGCAAATCACTCAACTTCTCAGAACATCAGCCTCTTCATGTATATACCTCCATGGTAAAGCTTGATTGAGAGAATCCTTATAAAGTACTTAGCAAAATGCTTGCCCCAGCAAGTTTTCTTATAAAAGAGAAGCTCTGATGGGATGGGAATCACAGGTGAACCTTCCTGCGGTGGGGAGTGGGGGAGGTGTTTAGATGGGGTGGGCCATGAGACGCCCTTACAAGGAGCTGTGGCAGGACGCAGGCAGCCCACAATAACACTGGCAAGAGTAGGGTTACAAGCAAGACCTGGACAGGAGCATGATGGAAAGACAGCGGAAGGAGCCCAGGCTGCAGAAGCAGATGGGGCTGCTCCTTGCTGAGAGGTCTTGGGAGTCACTCGGCTTCTCTGGGGCTCCACTGCTTTACTTGTGAGATGGAGCTAATAGCAGTGTACCCTTCACAGGGATGTAATGGGGTATAGGGCGAGGGGTACACCAGGAAAATAGGAGAAAACCTCCATAGCCCTTGGCTGGGGGATGGGCGGAGGTGACTATCTGGCTTAAGATACTTTTTATAACAAAGGCTAGTTTAATAGCTGTGCTACCTACCGCCTGGGGTAAGGTGGGCAGGTGGGCGTGACTTTAAGGGTGCATTCTGACTTCTGAAGCAGCCAGGGGAGGCAGGTTCCCCCTGGATCACTGAGTCACTCTTGCCCTGAATGGGAGTGGCGGCTAGCCTAATATATGTAAACAATAGAGAAGAGGTGGCAACTGTAGTTTATTGTAGGAGGAGTTGGAGATGAGGTCACACAGGAGGCTCCAGGTCAGGACTTACACTAAGGGTGGGCAGCCATGAAGAGAGAAGCCATGTTGCTGGGAGTGAGGAGTGTGCAGGAAGAGCCACGATGCAGCTGGCAGGGAAGGGAGATTCAGCCATGCAGCTTGGAAAGGAGCAGAAGAGCCATGAGGGAGGAATAATGTGCAGCCATGTGAGAGGGAGAAGCAAGCAAGCGACTATGTAGTTTGTAGTCAGGATCCAGCCGTGTGGCCTGGTGTAGTAAGGAAGGAGAGATGTTGCTGCTCTAGCTGACTCCGAAGACTCTCCCTTGCAAGGCACTGACGTGCTGTTTTGCAAACTGGACTCTATCTGGACTCTCAGGACTTACTGTATTTTCTGTGTACAATGCACATTTTTTTGCCCAAGTTTTTGAGGGAAAAACTAAGGATGTGCATTATGTATGGGTATAATGATTACATACTATGGGCATCATAACAATTCCATAATTCCATAACAATTCCATATAATGCACACAAAAACATGGGTGTGCATTACACACGAGAGCGCATTCTATATGGCAAAATGCAGTATGTCTTTCCTGAACCTCACCATGATCCAGTGCACCACGGCACATGCTTTCCTGGACTATTACATGGAGGTTGATGACAATTTAGCCCAGATCCTGAAGAGGAGAGCTGCTGTGAGGCTGCTTGAGCAGCTGGCTAAAATTCAGATAAGGAGATGGGGAACTTTTAGGGCTTTTATAGCCTTCTGAGCAGCAAGAGAAGTGTTGGGCCTCGAGGGAGAACAGGGCTCCAAGCTCAAGTCCTCTAAGCCCCTCCCCCACAGGGCTGGAATCTTTTAAATAAAGACCTGTTCCTTCAAGCACTGGTTGTTGGGTTTTTCACCCAGGCGCCATGTGGACAGGCCCCAGTTAGCTCGGATATAGGGAGATTGGGTTAGTAAGTGAGATAATCTATCTCAAGTGCTTAGCACAGTGCCTGGCAAAGAGCAGGCCCCTTGCAACACCTGCTCCTCCCCATCTCAGTCTATTTTCTCATCTGTTAAGCACACCAGCCCTGCCTGAAGTTGCAGGGGTGTGGAGGAACACACGCTCAAAAGTGCTCTGAAAGCACAAATGCTCCCTTAGTATTGCTGTCTCTTGGCACACCGTTCCATCCACCCTGCCCCCCAGCAAAGGGGAGAAGCCTTCTGAGCCTTGGATTCTCCTGGAGGTAGAGTTCCCGCTGACTTATGCCTTACTTAAAACTTCAACATCCTCCCAGGGATAAGATGAAATCCCAGTGGTCACTTTGTTCCTTGTTAACCTCTGCATAGCTGGCCCTGCCTATGGAACCCAAAGGGATGGGGAATGGGCCGGGCTGTGACTGCTCAGTGAGTACTAGATGGGGCTGAGTTCAAAGCCTCTGCTACTTCCCCTCCCCGAACCACATCACAGGGAACACTGCCCTGGGGAACACGAGGTCAAAAATATGAGGGGAGGGCATCTCAGCAGTTAAGACTTCCTGGAGACCATGGAGACAGGACAGGTAACTGGGGGCCTCTCACAACCCCCCCAACCCTCTGTCCTTCCCAAAGGGCCCCTTTCCCCCATATTCAAGGATGTTCACCTCTGCCTTAGCCCAAAGCTCTCATCTCTATGAGGCTGCCTTGTACATGTGCTCTGAGATATCCCATTGGTGGATGTGGCTTTGAAAATAAACCAGGGCACACCGAGGGCTGTGTCTATCTGCTTGCGAGGAAGCCGGCAGGAAGCCTGCTGAGTTCCTCTCCACCCCAGCCCCTGCCCACAGGGCATGGCAGCCCATGCAGGTCACAGCTAAACTTAGCTTGGCAAAGGGCCAGGGTCACAAGGGCAGAGGCCGGCAGGTGGTCAACCAGAACCAATGCGTTACTCTGAGCCTGGCCAGACCTTGGGGGTGAAATCCCTCCCTTCCCTGGGGTCCCTCGCTCCTGCATTCCCCAGAGCCCTACGGCTCCCCCACCATAGGTTAATCCAGTGAATGCCACTGAGAGTTCCATTCATCAAGCCCT